GGATGATTGGGAGGCTTGGAGCTATTTCTACAAGACCCAGGATATTCAGATTGTCGGTGATGATCTGACTGTCACCAACCCCCTGCGCATCAAGAAGGCTATCGAGCTTAAGGCCTGCAACGCTTTGCTCCTCAAGGTCAACCAGATTGGTACCCTAACTGAGTCTATTCAGGCAGCCAAGGACTCCTACGCTGACGGCTGGGGTGTCATGGTTTCCCACCGATCCGGTGAAACAGAAGATGTCACCATTGCCGACATCGTCGTGGGTATCCGATCTGGCGAGATCAAGACTGGTGCCCCATGCCGCTCCGAGCGTCTGGCTAAGCTCAACCAGATTCTCCGAATCGAGGAGGAGCTCGGAGATCAAGCCATCTACGCCGGTGCTAACTTCCGCAAGTCGGTTAACCTCTAAATGCAATGTATCTACCATTATTATTGCCAGAATGTGGCAATTGATGAAAAAGTGGTTTACACACTGTAATGAAGAATGAAAACAAAATGACGGGGTAAAGCGCGCGGGAAGTTAAAAAAAAAAGTCAACGCAAATAGATTCAAATAAGGTAGTGGAAAGTGGAGAGGGCAGGCAATTAACACGAAGAAACAAAGTCTTCAAGTGGTTGCAGGTATTACATCATGTCTCCGTGAGGCCATCCATCACGACAAGGTAACACCTGCCTACCTACTAGGTACCTAGGTAGGTAGGTAGGTCTAGATTGTAGTCACTAGGTTAGTACCTACCGAGTACCCTAAAGTTGTCCTCCGTAGTCGTCGTCTCAAGTCGTGGCGGGGGTTGGGCCGGGGCAGCCACATTGCATTGTGGCTGTTGCCACGGCAACTCCTGAAAGAAACACAACATTGCTGGGAATGAAAACAATGTGGCATGAGTTTTCAGTCACTGACATCTGACATCAGAAGTCACAGTCAAAAAGAACTGGCTGCTCCAGTGGATTCTAACTCAAAATGGTAGCCTCAAGTAACCTGATCGATTTCGATGTCATCGAAGGACAAAAGGAGAACATACAGTCTTTGCCCGGTGGACGATCGGCAAGGAAGTTAGCAGAGTTGTACTCTCCATCACCTCTGCATAAACTCGCGACACCGACTCCCTCGGATACCAAAAATGTCCACGATTGCATTCGCGCCGAATATGAGGCAGAAATTCAGAATATTTCTGAATCAGATGATCCGCTGGACGTGTTCGACAGGTACGTCAGATGGACACTGGATGCGTATCCAACGGCACAAGCAACTGCACAATCGCAGCTGCACACGCTGCTTGAACGCGCCACAAAGACATTCATTACCTCTGCACAATATAAAAATGACCCTCGCTACCTGAGGCTCTGGGTTCATTACATCCACTTCTTCTCAGACACCCCAAGAGAGACTTACATGTTTCTCTCGCGTCATGGAATAGGAGAAGGCTTGGCCCTCTTTTATGAGGAGTACGCTGCATGGTTGGAAGCTGCAGGAAGATGGGCACAAGCAGAGGAGGTCTATAAGCTGGGAATTGAGCGTGAGAGTAGGCCTGTTCAGAGATTGATGCGAAAGTACAAGGAGTTCGAGGAACGAATGAGGCAGCAGCCGGCTGACGCCATTGAGCCGTCGTCGCCAGCTCTTCCTACCGTACGTCCAGCGCTGGCCGCAAAGGTCGATCCTTTTGGATCTTTGTCGCGGCCCAACGACCCTCAAGCGTCACGACCTAGGAGCGGTGCCGGCAGCGCCGGTTCAAAGCCAGCCAAATCAAAGCTTGCTATCTTTTCAGATGCGGATGCCAAGCCAGCACCTTTGTCATCTAGGGGAGAAGGTCTCAAGGGATGGGAATCAATTGGATCCTTGTCTGACCGTAAGAAAGAAAACGTCGTGGAACCGAAGCCGTGGCTTGGAGAGACGTTGAAGGCCGGTGGAAAGAAGAGTACTGCGCCGAAGATGGCAGTGTTCAGGGACACGGTAAGTTTCCGAACTCAATACACCCTTTCCAAGCCCATATATTGATGAGAATAGGACTAATTTATTGGCCGTGGCATGTATTCGTTAATCCAGTCGCTATCTCAAATAAACAATGTCGTCCTTGTATCGGCCAAAAGCCAAGTGACTGTACACCCGCGAACAGGAAAGAAAGAATACATATTCGTTGACCTTGCAGCTGTGTACCCAACCCCGGAAGAACCCGGTTCAGAACTGAGTTTCGAAGAAATTATTGCGGCACGCCGGGGTTGGTTGGATCGGTCTTGGAGCCATGAGGCCGTGGAGGAAGACCTTGTCCCTGAGCCGATACAAGTTCTCAGTGGGATTGAGGAGATCAGCCGCGGTGTCAGTAACAAACTTGCTATTCACCAAGATCCAATGTTGTTCGATGAAAATGGAGGCATGAAAGAGCATCTTCAAGAGCCTCGTGTTGCAAAGAAGAAAATCATGGAAGTCAACGAGACCCAAATCAGTAAGCCAGATATCAAATTTTGCCTTATTAGACTCGCGGGAGTTAACATTTTCTAGTCAAGGCAAAATTGGACTCTCCTTCAGGTCCCAAATTTCGCAAGAAGCAAGCATCTGAGCCGACGATGACGCTCCACACGAAGGCAGCGACTGACGATATATATGACATTTTTAACGCTCCTCTTAAGCTGAACAACGAAAACGAAAATGCAGAGGATGAGGATTACGAGACAGATGGCGACTATACCACTGACGGCGAAAGTACAGGCACAACTAGACAACTCGATGTTACCAGTCAGCATGGCGACGACGGGGCTGCTGACACACAGAGTCTAAGTGAGTGGTCAGAATTTTCAGCTCAAAAGCACATCCCAAATGTTGAGGAAGAGGATGTGGACGGCACTCTTCCAATACACAGCGAGTATGACGGCCATGTTGAGGAGGCAGAATCCGGAGAGCAGACCTGTCCAACAACTTGTCCGAATGATGAAGCAATAGTTGCATCTTTAGATGAGCAGTCTTCTCCGAAAACCCGCACAATATTTGTTCCCATTCCTCCAGAAGATTATGACCCTCCGACACGTCCGTATAGGGACCCGGCCGAGGTGGCGAATAATCGACTCCCGTTTATGACGCCAATTACGGAGCGGACAGAATCCTCACTTGATGTTGATCTTCAACGTCAAGACACATTCAAAACACCATGTAGACGAGATGGAGCTACCAACGCCATGGGAGAAGATCATTCCGACGACGAGCCCTTAAGCAGTCCTCTTAGAGAAATTGTAGACGACGAATGTCCTATGCCGAAAATCCCTGCTGCCCTAGTCCCAAAATCCAGATCCATTGTCAAGGGACCATCTACCAATGCGATTGCCCCAAAAGGCCCCGTTATTAAAGATATCCAATGCAATCCCGTTGACATCTCTATCCGTCAAGAAATTCTAAACAACCTTCAGCCTCCTCTGAGTTCGTATGCCGGGTTCTACGACCGAAGTGGGCAAAAATACGAATTCGGAGCTGATATTCGCAAGTTTACCAAGGCCTTGAACAGATTGAGCAAGGGCGGCACCGACAAGACGGGACCTCTCCCATCTCCAGTCCTGATTAAGTTTCCCAACACAAGCCGAGTATATACCTTGAAACGGGAGCTTGGTGCAGGAGCATTTGCCCCTGTCTATCTAGTCGAAAACTCTTCTCCGCAGGAGGATGAAAATGACGAGAATGCAGTAGCCACAATGGGCAAAGGCATGTTTGCTGTTAGCCACCGAAGTGAGTTGGAGGCACTCAAGATGGAAGTACCACCAACTCCCTGGGAGTTCTACATTATGAGGCTTGCACACTCTCGTTTGGGTCCGCAGCACCGTGCAGCAGCTTCTCTGTCTTACGCCCATGAGCTACAGCTATATCAAGACGAAGGATTCCTTTTTCTACCATATCACCCTCATGGAACACTCCTAGACTTGGTTAACTTCTTCAGAGCCGAACCATCTGGTTTAATGGATGAGCAATTGGCGATGTTCTTCTCCATTGAGCTTATGCGCACTGTTGAAGCTCTTCACACCAAGAACATCCTGCATGGTGATCTAAAGGCCGACAATTGCCTGCTTCGGCTAGATACGATGTCTTCGGAGCAACCTCTATCAATGCCATGGAAAGCGGATGGAAGTGGCGGTTGGGCATCAAGAGGCATCTTTCTCATTGACTTTGGTCGGGGCATTGACATGAAGGCCTTTGTCTCGAACGTGGAGTTTATCGCCGACTGGAAGACTTCATCACAGGACTGCGCGGAGATGCGCGAAGGACGCCCGTGGACATGGCAAATCGACTACCACGGTCTAGCAGGTATCATTCACTGTCTCCTCTTTGGAAAGTACATTGAAACTCAACGATGCGATCAAGGTGGGCTTGGTCGTACCGGCAGAAAATATAAGATCCGTGAAAGCTTGAAGCGATACTGGCAGGCAGATCTTTGGTCTGATTGCTTCGAAGTGCTGCTCAACCCCGGGTCATTTTTGGAATTCGAAGACGGGTGTAGGATGCCGGTGCTGAAGTCTTTGAAAAGCGTGCGAGGAAGAATGGAACAGTGGCTCGAAGCAAACTGTGACCGTGGTGTCGGCTTGCGATCTCTAATTGGCAAGTTGGAAGTATACGCAAAAACTCGCAGGTAAAACGAAGCCTTGATGCGATTTCATGGCTAAGAGAGTATCTCAATCAAGTTATTTTGACTCAAGTCAGGAGCCGTCGCTATCTCATTCACACTATTAGGCTTATTGGGCAGACATTGTTTGGCGTTTCTCCTGAGCGTTTGTAGCACCGAAAACAATTAGCGGGATAAGCAATATCTGTTGAACTTTTAATGGTACATATAATATTACATATACATAGAGGAAGAACATGACAAAGCCGATGGTTATTCGATTTCATCTTCGTGTCGGCACGGCCAGAATCTTCCGCTTTACCAGCTATTTCGATCCAAGAGGAAAACGTGCCGCGTAATGCATAGCCGGTATGTAATAAGGTCTTAGGATCCCATGATGCTGAAGAAGGGTTTTTGGAACCGTCTAGTCACTCTCTTCGCCTGAGTCGTGTGCATTCTTCCTCTGTTTTACACCACTCTTTTTCGCCCTTGAACCCTTCTTAGCATTCTTGGCCGATCTTTTGTCAACCTGGTCTTGGATTCTGTTGCGCTCTGCTGCACCTTTGGCCTGAAGTTCTTTTTCTTTCTGCTTGAACTCGTCGCTCTCTGGGTCCATTCCTATGAGGCTCTCTAGTAGCTTGATTTCATCTGCCCAGACTTGCTTGTCTTCAACCGTCTTTCCGTCTGGGCCCTTCTTCTCAATGGGCGTCTCCAGGATCATGGGCATGTTGCAAAAACCATCGCAGTTCATGACGCTGTGGAACGCGCGGAGGCCTAGAAAGCCAGTTCCAATATTCGCATGCAGGTCTCGATTGGAATTAAGGGGGGCTTTACTATCATTCACTGGGAAAGGATATTAGCTTTACTACAAGGCGCGAAACGTGTTATGGTTTATCCTGCGTAAAATGTTGTCGACGGTATTGACGGGTAGGCAATGCTTACAGTGGAAAGCCTTGAGATATTTATATCCGACAGTCTCGTCGAATGCCTTCATGGTCTTTTTAAATGCATCCGGTGTTCGTAGGTCGTATCCAGCTGCGAATGCATGGCAGGTATCTATGCAGACGCCTACTCGATCCTTCTGCTCTACCAGCGCAATAATGTCCCTCAAGTCTTCCCAGGTTGAGCCAATCACGTTGCCCGCACCGGCCATATTCTCTAGAACTGTAATCACTGATTGAGTCGCCTTGTGCGAACGGTTCAATTGTGCAGCAATCCGGTCAATCGCCGCTGGTCGAGCCTCTCCCCCGGTTGAGCCGGGATGGAAGTTGTACAACTTGATCCCGAGTTGTTCACATCTCTCGAGGTCGTCAACGAAGCTTTTGTAGGCTTGTGCGGCCTTGGACTCGTCCGCTTGCGCCAGATTGACGAGATACGACCCATGGGGTAGGGCATGCTCTGCGGTGCTGTAATTGTGCTCTTTGCAGCCGCTAGTGAAGAGGTCGCGGGCCTCTGTAGAAATTGGGGGGTTGTCCCATTTGCGTTGAGACTTGAGAAAGAGAGCGAATGAGTTGGCTCCAATCTGGACGGCGTTGGAAACGGCATTTTGGACCCCTATGCGAAAAGATGACGACGTGTGATTAGTTCTGAACAGGGTAAATCTAGTACATTCTGTGGAGGACGTGAAAGGGGCTGTATTCCATCTTGATCCGTCCCAACTCTACCCACAAACTCACCTCCAGCGGCACTAACATGAGCTCCAATGTACATGGCCTTGGTCAGGGAAGATATGGTTGTCCTGTCTGCCAACTTCATTGCGCTTTCTTCGGCATTTGCCTTCGCCTTGGGCCTTCTTTGTTGCTTTTTATTATGTGTGCTATCTTCTCTTTCGGTTACGGAGTTTAACTTTCGCTTGCCGGTGATGTTTATTGCCGCTTTCGTGACGGCGCTTTTCGACTTCTTGATGGTTTTGGGAGTCGCCCCGTCAGAGTCCTCGTTGTAGCTTACCACCTGCCGTCTCCTAGGGGATGCTCGAGGCATTTTTTCAGAGAAATGGCTTGATTCAGACGGGATGTCGTCGAATGGGATGTCGTTTCGAGCTTCGAAAATAGCAGACCTCTTCGCTGACCCCATTACACTCACGCGACCCAAACCGGAAAGTTGTGAACGCGAAGTCACGTGCGTGACACAGCTCGGCAACCCACAAACGAGTAGTTTAGAGTAGTCATTGTAGACGGTAAGACAAATGGGGTCATAAACAAATGGGGAAAAAATGATTGATTAAGAGTGCACTATTTTCATCGTAGGTTTGCCGGGACAATTCTACCTTGCGTGTTGTCGAACACCGTCTTCAAAGCCTCTATTAGAGTAGCCAGTAGTTATTATTGATCGAGTTACAAACAAGTTCGCCACCAGATAACAGATAGCATTCAGAGGCGTCATGGCGTTCGCAACCTCTTACGACAGAATGCGCAATTCAGGAACGGTATTCAAATTTGAAAATTTGTCCTTGTAAGCGTCATAAAGCCGTTCAACTTCCTCCACATACAATTCGTGGTATTTGTCAATAACTTCTTGAGAGGGGTGCTCTTCGGTTGGCTCGTTGATCTCAATAGGCCGCCCGACCACAATATTGACGGCCCGTCGGTAAGGCATCAAACCAACATCATAATTGAGAAGTCCACGGCCATGAAGAGCCGGGATCGTAAATTTGAATACTTTCAGAAGGATCATTTGGATCTTGTGGACCATGGGATGCGTTTTCGGACTCAGTTGATCGTACAAGTCATTCTCACCGAAACCAATCACCGGCACTAGATCTGCTCCCGATCTCAGGGCCATCTTGACAAACCCTTTGCGCCCTTTGAGAATCAGGCGAAGCGTTCCGGGTTCGGCTTGGAGAGATTCACGAGCGCCTCCAATAACAATTGTGACCGCCCGCCCCTGCCCATCGTTGCTAGCTCCTCCTTTAGACAGGGTATTTCGAATAGATTCTTTCGAAACAGATCGAATTCCCATGGCCAAGATCCAGTCGCGGTAGAATGGAAGGCGAAAATTGGAATCGAGTGTCAACAAACTATTGGTAATACCAGGGAACTTCTCTGAGAATCCCAATGCGTTGGTAGCAAAGGCACACCAGGCGCCATGGGAAATGATCCCATGCGGATGATATCCAAAAATGTACTTCCTGTTGGGAGGAAGGTCGAATGTCTTATGAAGCGCGGCTGGAAAGTATCCCGCAAATAACTTCCAAAGCGGCAACGATCGAAGCCATTCAGATCTGTAAGAAAGTTTGCCGTCTATCGCTGCGTTAGAAAACGACAGGTGAATAAGGTAAGGAACGAGGATGGGCCAGGTCAGGGGGTTCGCGCAGCTGAACCAGAAACAGGACACCAGCACGACAATAGACATAGAGTGGAAAAGGACTGCTGCTGTCTGCATACGACGTTTAAAGGGCACACGAAGGGGGGCGAATCGAATCCCTCCAGCTCTCCAAGCCTCTCTCTCGTGAGCCTCTCGGTGCATCCCACTAAGGAGGGCAGGATAAGGCACGTAAACCCCGTTGGTAATCCTTTTATCCTCCTCGAGCTTGTCGGTTTGAAGAGCTGCAGAATATGACTTGCCGTTTTCCTCCACCACAACATTGGAATTCGATGATTCAGATTGATCAATCAGTTTGCCATAATGTGGCAGGTCCTGTCCAGCCTCGCAATTACAGATTAGTTCGAATATTAGAAAATGGATCGATGTAGAAAGAATACCATGGTGTTACTTACCGTCTGAACTGTTGTGTCTGAATCTTCAAGGTCAAGGGGTGGAAAGTCCTGCCTACCATGCGGATTCGACCCCAGGACAACCTTTTCGTTCGTTTCACTACCCACTGCAGTAAATATCCGTTAGTAAGAATATTATTTCTCTGTCTGTCCAGTTTCTATGGCATTGAGGCAGCTACAAGCCCTCTAGACTCCAGAAGCAAGCTCCCCTTTAACAGCAGCAATTGAATTGCTCAGCACGACGAGACGATGTCAAAGGAGACTTACTCCCTGACGAAAGTTTAGCCTGCGATTTTCCTCCCCGTTAAATTCCGATCCAGTTCACCGGTCTTCGTAGTAGCAAGAGGGAAATCTCGCTAGCCCGCGTAGTTGCTATGCGTCTGAAATGACGCCTTTAGGCCGCCCACCCCCTCGAAAGAGTGAGATAGAAGTTATCAGAGGTCGCCCCCGGTCGAATACTTTGGATTTAGTGAGCGGTACAGATTTAGTGAGCGGTACAGATTGCCTGCCTCGTAGCTGCTAGTGGACGGATAGATTTCGAAGCTTCCTACTCTGCTCACAAGCTCAGGTCTCATGTGTTCAACCCCAATGACGTACGAGACACAATGACTGGGCACGTGCAAAGTCAAGTCCCAGCATAAGCTACTTTCTCCATTAGGCCCACTGGAGTACCTGCACAATCCTGGACGGCCCGTCGCAGTGGCCCAACGGTTTAACAACAGGGCTACTGCTCATGACGACACAACACAACCACGAAGGCGTCCATTCACAACCAATTTGACCAATACATTTGGCCAGAAGGGGAGAGAGAGGAGGCTCTTAACTACTGCGTCACAAATGAGCCAAATTACGGTATGCGAGAAACACCCTTGTTATATAAGTACAATTCCCAGACCAAATAATCTCCCAAACCTATAATGTAACATCCGATTGCCGCCTTTTAGTTCACAACGGTTAGTCATCCCATTCCTATTCCATAATCCGGAAAAATCAAAACGCCAAACTATGAGCAATTCTAGTGAGGCGCCTGTATTACAGGACCCAGCTTGCTCATTTTTTCCATCAGCCCTCCTAAATATCACGTAAAGGTAGAAGAAAGAATCCAGATGAGGCCAAGTCGCTAACCCTCACGTAGTCGAAGCACCTTCAAGAGTATCAAGTTGTTTCTTCAGGCTAGCCACCTCCTGGTCAAGTAAAACAACTTTATCTGATAGAGACTTGATCTTGTCCTCTAGCAGACGGATATATTCCCAAACGCTAGGGTCGCTTTGCGCAAACATATTGCCACTATCGCCGGAAGGCTGAGCACCGCTCGGTGTGCGACCGTGAGAATATGTGCCAGGATTTGGTGCCACAAATCCTGGATGTGACAATCCTGGTAGTTTGGGTCTTGCCTGGCCGCTGCTGTGTGGTGACTGCAGGTCCGATGACGGCCTGCCAACTTGCTGCTGTCGATATTGTTGAGTCATAGTAGGGGACCGTTGTCTCGCCAAGTTCGCCGAGTCGTGACTTGGAAGCCCGGGGCTAAGAGGCTTCGGACTCTCCGTCATACCCGCCTGTGAGTACGTTCCCAAGCCTCCAGGGCCGCCGGGAATAGAGGAAACGCTGGTGTTTGCCGTGTGGCCGCTCGCCATGCTGTCGGGAACACTGGTGGAGCTAATCGTGCCAGCCTGGCTTAGATTCACATTCGGTGGATATAGGCCGCTCGCTGCCGGTCGAGGACCTGCTGGAGGATATGTGCGAGAGTGTGCGCCATAGTTGTCACTAGACGAGTGCTGTACACCCATGCTTGGAAGACTTTGTCGTCTGAGCTCTTCATCTTCCACACCATCGTAGGCCACTCCTGACATAGTTGAATCATCTCCTTCGCCTATGGTCCCCTCCAAATCATCACCGTCAGCAAAGCTGCCCATGCTAGCTCGTCGACCCGCACAGCCTCCTGCTCCTTTGCTATGTCGTGCCAGAGCATCTCCACGCGCGAATTTCCGATCACACTTTGGACAAATATGTGGTTTCTCTCCTGTATGGAGTTTTCCATGTCGTTTCAAATCATGAAGCCGGCGAAATCGCATTTGACACTCCGTACAGACATATGGCTTTTCTTGGCTATGGGTCAAGAGATGGCTCTTGAGATTATGATGGCGTGTAAACTCAGTACTGCAATACGGACACTTGTGTTTTTTGCCACCAGATGATGTGGGTGAGCTCTGGATCTGGCTAGGCGTAGGGAAGCTCATGCCTCGACTGAGTGGTTCAGAGAGGTTTGCGGTAGTTTGTAAAGACCCAGCATACGACATTGAATCAGGCTGTGGTCTCTCGTCCGGTGACATAAGTTGGTGACCTTGGACTTGATCATTTTTCTTGGAATCCAACTCCATTGGGGCGGGGCTCTCGGCAACAGGGGCGGATGGTACATTGTTTGAATTTGCGTTCGCATTTGCAGGGGGGCTACCTTCGTCACGATCATGGTCATCCATATGGGCGGCATTCCCGGCAGCCATGGAGAGCTCAGTTGCCGCTTTCGTTGCAGGCTCCATGTTTGCGGTCGGAGCAAGCTGAATGGCGTCAGAAGGACGGCTCATCGCTTGAGCGACACCGGACATTAGGGACTCAAGTACTGAACGAGTCGGGTTAGGGCTAACGGAAGGACTGTGAGCCTGCTCCTCGACCCTTCGTCGATTCTCGTCTTCGAGAGCCGCGGCGCCTGTGAGAGGCACGGCAGGTCGAGTGGTCGTCGCAAGAGACAGTCGGGCGACCTTGGAGGGCGAGCCGAGTGAATTGGAAAGCTGCGCAGCACGGGATCGCGGTGACACGGACTCGGATTCGCGTTGTCGTTTAGTTAGTCTCACGATGTCGTCGGATGGGGCTGTGGTAGCAGAGACAGAATTCTGTTGACCGGGTGGCGGGCCTTCTGTTGCAAGACTGGCAACGTTTGATGCCATAGAAATCCTTAAATTAACGTATCTAACGAATTGAAGAAATAGGTTCAACCATGCGAGACGATGCCTACTGTCAAAATTATGGGCAGTTTAAATCATCGAAGCATGTTGAGGCTGCCGTTATCCAGGTGTGGCTGAAGAACGTGGCGAGAGCTTGACCTTTTGTTTTTTTGTTTTTTCGTTATTTTTTCTTCGGCCTGATTTAGACGTTCGAGAACGACGAGCGGTAGCGAAATGGCGAAGAGTAGGAATTGGGGCCTAATAGAATTCAAACTCAGGGGATGACGGTCTCGAAATAATTTCCGGGTCATTTACTGGCTGATGGAAAATGTCGCGTGGAGTGAAGGTTGAGATGTGTAAGATGTGATAAGAGCAAAAGGTGAGAGACCTCCAGAGAGAATGTTGTTCATGCCAACGCCTCCTGGGGCTTCTGGGGCTAGGGGCGCAGTAGGTAGTAGCCAGGCAAGCCCAGTCAACTGTCAGTGTGCAAGCGTCAGGCGAGTGCCAGTGCCAGATCAAGCAAGGCCGGGGTGGGCTGGCAAGCTGGGTAGGCAGGTACGAGTTGCAAGGCGCAAATGTTGGCGTCTGTCTCCACGGCTCCACGGCCAGGTGCCGCCAGTTTAAGTTGGGTACCCTTAAGCTCAGCCAAGGCCAAAATTCCAGCCAAAACGGTCGCTTCAGAACAACCGGTAGGTAAGAGAGAGAGGCACAATGATCTGAATCAGGGTAACACGTTGGCAAGGGCACGAGCGAGCGAGGCGACGTGCTGCGCTTGCAATTGAAGAGGGCGGAACATTGACCGAGCGGTTGCCGAAGGGTGGCGCGGTCAGCGAACAGAACAGAGGGCGGCAAGGCGGAAAAAAAAATCAAGACCCAGAGTTCAGTGTTGAGCTGCAATATGTGGGGACGGATGACCAGCCACAAGAAGCTCCAAAACCACATGTGCAGCTTTAAAAGGCAGACCAAGGCTGTGTCCCAGCCATCGTCTTATGCGTCTTTCTGCGTCGATTAATCCCACCGCATCTCCCCCAGACCCAAAAAGGGTTGTCCATTCAATCCTTGATGGCCGTCTGGGTGTAATCAATGGCTTTCTTCAACTGCTAGTTGGAACTGAATTCTGCATTGGTCGGCAGCGTGGTTTACCTGTGTCAATCTAGGACTGGGCAGAGTCGGTTTACCATCTTTGTCTTGTCGTCACAAAAACCTCACCACTTCCGATTCCTGCGTCCCGCTTGCTGGCCCTGGAGGTAGTTTTTACATTTCCGCCGCCGGGGGCTCCATAACTAATACCCAAGTATTCCTTCCTTGCATCGCCATTCCCGGCATTGCGGAGCAATCCTGCCCTACGGTCAAGAAGATGTTGCTCAGTGCAGAGGTGCAGAGGGCTCTTTGCCGTCAACTGGTACGATCGACCTGCCATGCAAAAAATCCCCCACCGCCCAATATTCCACAAGTAACCGAGGACGGAACCCCTGGTGTGGTCAAACTGGTCAAACACGCCGACTCTGACTCTTTGCCACCTCTCCAGCTAGCGCGACTTTACATTCTTGCCCAGAATACTACTCCGACGGAGTACGCACATCGGGATTACGTCAGTACGTGTATCTACCTACCTTAGCGCGCCAAGGGGTTTTCTGGTGACTGTCTTCCAGCTATCAGCTATATATTAGACTTTTAGTAAATATTGATAATTTAGGACTATTCTTGTGATAGTTGTGCTGTCACCAGAAATAAGGGCCGCGCGCGTAGGTAGGTATAGGTAGGTACCTAGGTACCTAGGTAGGTATGCACGTGTACTTGCTCCACATTCAATGTTTTCCAGTTCATTTGCGTACGGAGTACAGAATAAGGTAACTATCTACTACTTAGTAGTTATCACACTCGTCCACCGAAGTTCCTGCTTTGGTGGCTCGATTCGAGGAGAGAAGATTTGTTTTCTCCTTGTCCCAAGCTGGCGTGTCTCGACCCTTCATCCCGTGGCACTAATTCAACCATGTGGATAAGGCATTTAGTCTGCTGAACAAACCCCCGCCTTTATCATTGATGTTGCAATGCCTGTTGTCTTCGTGATCATGTCTGTTTCCTGTCCGCGACGCTGCGGGGGGGGCCAATCCTCCTGTCCAGCCACGTCTCTCGAGCTGTTTCCCGGGCTTACTCATTGTAGGCCGATCCGGGCTCACACTTGGCTTAGGAAATGGCTCATCTAAGTGCCGAGTTCAGGCCGGTTTACCCGTCACTCAACTGCTTCCTTCAGAACATAAGACCCGTTCGGTCTTCCGTTGTATAAATTATCGACGCAATAAGTGCTGATGGGTATGCCTAATGTTATCGTGGCAGTATTGCGCACTCCCGATGAATCCCGTCAATGTCCAATGGATAGAGCAAAAGAGTCTCAGGGACATGTTATGCATCGACGCTTTTCGGCTCGGACACCTGGCTCACAGGTCTCATGTTCGACCGTGCCCTCCAGAGCCATCAGCCAATAGGCGGGTGTCGAAGACAAGCCGATGCCGTTTACAGTCCAGGCAGGTATTACAAGACGTTTCCGTTGACTACCTAGGTAGTTTACAAGCCACTTGAGTTGAAGTCACAACGCCACGTGGAGGGCAACAAATCACGCGCTACTATTGGGCACAAGGTGTTGTGTATTATTTTTTAAATTTTTTTTTTTGTATACAGAATACTATTCTGCAATATTTGTGTTGCGGCGGCAGAACTACTGGGATGTGCGGGTTAAACGGCTTCTTCTGTCTACTCCATACTTCACGCCGTGTTGCAAAGGGCTCTGTGGCTATGGCTTTGGGCGATAATATCGGAACTTTCGTTTGGACCAGGGTAATCTGACTGCCGTTCTCGGATGAGACGGGGAGCCACATCTGAGCCACGTTGAGACGTCATCCCAAGACAACCTGGTGCCCCGTGATACCAAGGATACTACGTACATAAAAGTAGTGGTAATCAGGGAGCGCGAATGGAGAAGCTAATAATGTGTCTGTGTCATTATCCGATCCCGCTGGGCAAATCCTCAGGTAGTTATAGTACTAGTTCCCTGGTGCGATCGACGACACACATTGCCTACTCCTAAGAGACCAGGTTCCTCTGATTTCGAGTCAGATCGCCATTCCCAATGTATATTGCCAGACCGTCGCAGGACGTGTGCATTGTCCACTACGCAAATGGTATGTGTAATCATCTCAGACACGCACTGTTTTGGGAGTGTTGAGCATATCATCACAACATGCATAATACCATCGTCAGCGCGACTATAGTGCAGAGACTGTTCACCATCCCACCTCGCTTTGTCAATCAGGTTATATGTAAGAGACATCCCGACTCCACAATCTGACCCATTGTCAATATGTAGGGCATTAAGATTCTCTGGCTTACTTTCTCTTACATTGTGTTAGTCCGCTTGGTAACTCAATTTTACGACTGCTTGAGGCTACCGGGAAAGGGAACGAGTATAGCTCAGTTTACTAATTTTGCATCTTCATGAATCGGTATAGCTACGGGATCCCTCGTGTGTTCATCACGGCCTACGTCTGTAGAGATGGCTCTAAGCATTGAGACCCTACGCCACGCCAATTGTTTTTCTGGCTCCGTGGAGTTGTGCGGCTCGGCAAATTAGTGTTGCCCAATCCCATCGCCCATGGCCGAATGCGACATCTCAGCAGCAAGTGTTGTCATCATCCAAGTGCCTATCCAAATCTGACTACGAGCAGATAACCGGCGTGATGAAATACTTCACCGGTGAGGTAGTCAAGGGTGCAGGTTAGGTTGCTCTGTAGCTGATCTGCAGATGATAGCTTAGCATGGGCCCGTCGAAAGCGTTTGCCCCTTTCGCGTTTGTTGTGTCAGCTAATTCAGGATCTCAAGACCGTCAGGTGTGTAAGGTTCGTGATAGCTTGGCGTGTCATGTGGCCATAGGGTCCGCGTTGTTATTTCGCTCGGGTCGACGGACCATCCTTTAATGAGGAAATGGTGGTAGTTTTGAAGTATCCTGTTCATGACCAGGCGTAGTGTCGACAACTACAGCGCCCCAAGCCCAGGGCACCCAGATATCAATTGCTACCAGACATAATACATGTATCCGTAGCAAAGTCCCTGCCGCTTAACAGTATAAGCTACCTACCTACTTAAGTAGGTAGGTATTGTGCGCCCTGCCAACACTTGATGGGCGGCATGTCGGCACGGAATCTAGCGGTGGGCAAGTGCGAGTATCTACCTATCGCGCTGGCGGCTTGCTGACATCACGACCGTGCGTGGGACGAGAACCAATGCCAAAGGAACATCCAAAAATGTTAATGTATTAACTGTTACCTTCAACAATTCAAAGCGGGCGAATCACGTCGTGCAAGACAATGTATTTACTGTATTGCGTTTATGCGATTTATGCGACGTATGCGGATCAAGTCTTGCCAGTTCTCCGATTTACACTATGAAGAACCGTGCTAGGATTCACGATCAGGAACAAACCTACAATATTCAGACGGATACAAGTCAACTACTACGCATCGCATTAACCTATATATGGTGTATCATGCCACTCCGTATAGAATACTCTGATATTTTAGAGGATAGCCAAGTATGTACTCCGAAAAATTTTGTCCTAACCTGGGCAACTGGGTCTTTACTCGGGCCCCTTTTTACGAAGATCGACGCGGCCTGGGTAAATTGGGGCACGTCTCATTGCAGCGGCGGGGCAAGGAGAACCAAGCAATGCCTCATGGAAAATGGATTGCTCGGTAACTACAGAGAAAGTTTGATACGAAAAGACTGAATTTGGCAACGAAGTCAAGGTCAAGATGTTATGGAGACGGAGAGTCGGAACTACTCATTGTGCAGTGTATGGATCTATCGTCAAGTCTCGTCTTATCATCTCAGTAAACAAGGCATGAGGCTCAATGCAGACATAGTACAGGAGCACGAGAGTGCGTGAGTAGGCTACCTAGGTAGGTACCTAGTACTCATAGTCGTACCGAAGGATAAGAACTCGGGCTGAGTGGCAGGACTTATGAGTGGAATCCAAAACGGCTGGGAGCGAGGATCCGTGTTGACTTCAAGACGATCTGGATAGGAAACGACAGTGAACATTTGAAGGTGCCAAGCAAGTCCGTCAGTGCTTGTAGCATCACACCAGAGAGCCCGGCTACCTATGGTTCGTACTAGTCAAATCAATCTGTACAACGACCAACGCACGGGCCACGGCTGCCATGGGCCCAGGCGCCGCTTAAGTTCAAGTTTTCAGCCTTGGCCACGATACGGAGTACTGTCACACAAAAATGGGTGTGGCCACGCCACGTTATTATGCGTTGTACCCCCTTTTACCCCTGCAACAAGTACATGGGCACAACGGTGGATATTTGTCGGATCAGAGTTCAATGTCGCTCTGTTGATCCCTTTGGTTGTGTTAAGGCTCCAGTCGGGTATCTGCAGGGATATATATCCAATAAGAAGCTAAATTTAAAAAGGTACATTTATCTACTAATAAATTAAGTGATAATAAGAGTACTTATAAGTTAATGCTCTACAAGTCACTACATCTAACTCAATACCGCCCTCACGCGATTAACGGGTCGCCTTATGGTCACCCGCTATCAATCAAAGGGATAGTTCAGTGTGTTCAGCCACAGGATACTAAGCAGCTGCACTACCAGTACCTGTTATGTACCTAGTACCTACTGAGTCCTGACTACCTGTCTAATGTAAGATTTGACCTATTATAGGTAGCTTTATCCCGACTAGGTCGTAAACATTTAATCTAATAGCTTAGGATATTTTTTCTAAAGCTTTTTAAGGCGAGATGTTGTTAATAAGTCACCTGGATCAGGATACCATGTCCGACATCCCCCCTTCCCATACGGTACCCAATACTAGGCGAACAACGAGTGCACGGCAGAGACTCTCAAGAAGGCTAGCTCCAGGTACCCGTGCGCCGGAGTCAGGCACAGTCTCTGGTCTGTTACGTGTGACTAGGCACTTCAGCGTCTTCGCATTTTCTCCTGAGCCACGAGACTAATACTACTCCGTATTGTACGGAGTACGCAACTTCAGATGCCAAGGCAACCATGTAGCGTGCGTCCATTGTAGATTGTTGATATCGCTCGACTGTGTAGGCAAAAGTTACCTCCATAGCAGAAGACGGAGAAGTTGGAAGATTGCCCCAGTCCTCGGTGAGGTATCGGTCGGGACACCGAAGCAAAATTCAGATTGCGTGCCTTTTCTTCATCTTTCATGAGAAACAAAGCACGCCGGTGCCGCTCGCGGTCATTTCTCCAATCTTTTGAGATGCTCGTGAGCCTGCGGAGTGGTCAGTCCAGGGTCAAGGGGCCAATCGGGCTTTATTACTCCGTACATATATTTAGATATCAATTGGTTCATTTCAAGACCCCTCCACACCTCCACACAAGCTCGCGAGCACCTCAAGCGGTACGAACCCCTGTCAAAAAACACATCCTCATCCGTATCCCCAGCTTTGCCGCTTCCTCTTCACCACAACTCGTGAACTTTAATCTCTAGTAGCAGCCACTCGCAATTTGGTAGGAGCTTTAGGGCTAGTAAGAGGAGTTTATGATGGGAAAGTGGGGTGTTGTACTATTAGAGTACCTCTACGGAGTGTTCTGTGTTTGTTTCTAACAGAGTTGCCAATCATTTATGTCTGCCGGCAGGAGTTTGGTAACTTCGCTGTATTTTTTTTTTTTTTTGATTTAATTGACAGTACTCCGTAGGCTCCTCGCCTACACGCGATATATCGTTGTTGGTAAATTACCGGGTACACTCTGTCTTTCGCGGATGGTTGATAGTCCAGGGGCTGTACCGATGTAATGGCGCCTCGTTCATGAAAAGCAGCCAAAACCAGGCACTCCGTTCAATGGATGGAGTACTTTGATACATTTCCCGCTCATGCGTAGTACCGCGCCGCTGGCGGGACGCGTGCATGCTACACATGTACTTTGACGTGGATTGGCACGTAACTAAACGTGGTGGCGTGCCAGGACTTCAGGTCATAACGCGATGTCGTGCCACTTCCCACGCCCTTTCCATCTAGGGTTACAACGCCAGGGGAGAGCAAATGTAATTTCCCAGTCGACGGACTCTCATTTCTGGGGTGATTCCCATCGTCCGAGCCGTTTATCGCTCCTTGTCTCCTCCCTCCCTTTGCCTTTTGCTTTTTTGCTTCACCGGCCGTCGCCTTCGATTGAATTGCGTTGAATCCTTTTCTAACAGAGAGTCTCGGCTCTCTACCACGCTCCTTTGTCCCTGGTCCATCGCTTCATCACGCTCGTTTCATCCAACTTGAAATTATCACGAGCCCCAAAGACTTCACGAAAGCGAGAGACCACCAGGTGAGTTGTTTCCATATGCGACTTGTCCGCGGCATTCAGTCAGCCCAACTGCCAATGCTGTTGGGTTGTTGATGTCTCCGGGTCACATATTTGAACCTAACGGTAAATGCTGACTAGAGATTATTGAAGAAGATATTAACCAATCATTCTCAACGATACTTGCAATGAGGAATTAGTACACGTCGCCATCGTGGCCACCTTGGCAATTGGCGTCGCTGCTAATTCGCACCAGCACCTCCATCACCACGCCAAGAAGGATGCTGCCTCCAAGATTGAGGTTGCCACCTCCACCGAGACTGTGTACATTGTTGGCGAGACGGTAATCTCGGAGAAAGAAGCATTGGCTGGTATAAATAATGGTTCTCTTGTCAATGTTGGCGAATCCACGCCCATCTTTGCTCCTCCCGTCGCCCAACCCCCTAAGCCTACGACTACCACCAGCCTTCAGAACCTCGGTGCCCAATTTCTTGAGAAATCTAGTAGTGTTGCATCCCTGGCGAACCCTACGACTACTTCGCAACCACCACCACCTCCTAAGAGCACTCAGGCTCCCAAACCAAGCACTTCGCCCAGCAACCCCCCAAGCGGAGATATCGGCCTGGATTCCAAGTTTCCTAGCGGTCAAATAGAGTGCTCAGAGTTCCCCTCTGACTACGGCGCCCTTCGATTGGACTATCTGAAATTGGGTGGGTATTCTGGCATACAGATTGTCGATGACGACTTCTCGATGGAGGAATCCAAAAACATCAACACCATCCGCACTGGCGTCCCTAACGACAAATGCACCGAGGGGGCAATGTGCTCTTATGCATGTCCGCCTGGCTACCAGAAGAGCCAGTGGCCAGATGCGCAAGGCGCGAATAAGCAATCTATTGGTGGCCTTTACTGCAACAAGGATGGATATCTCGAGTTGACTCGTAAAAGCAACCCCGTTCTTTGCGTACCTGGTGCTGGCGGCGTTTCTATCAAGAATGACTTGGACGAAGTTGTCTCCACCTGCCGAACCGACTACCCTGGCACTGAAAGCATGACTATTCCCGCCGAGGCCATGCCTGGTAAGTCGGTCGTATTGACCAATCCTGACTCATCGACATACTACAAGTGGAACAACATGCCTACCACAGCTCAGTACTACGTCAATAACAAGGGTCTTGCTGCAAAGGACGCCTGTCTCTGGAACTGTCCCTGCGACGAGAACAAGCCCCAGAACTACAAAACCTGCGGTAACTGGGCGCCTGTTAACATTGGTGTTGGCCTGGCTGAAGACGGCAACAACACATACATTGCTATCTTCCAGAACGCACCGACGCAGCGCAGCGCAAAACTAAATTTTAATATCGAAATCACTGGTGACGTCAACTCGAAGTGCGGTTATAAGGATGGAGAGTTTACTACGGACGGAAAGTCTACTGAGGGTTGCACTGTACGTATTACTCGCAAGCATTATATGTTTACGGGTCCTGTCAAGCTAACAACTCACTCTGCAGACTGCAATGAGCAAGGGTGGCAAGGCAGTCATCCGATATTACTCGTAATTTTCGATGCCAAATGCCTGGGTTTATATTAGTTTTGGATCTTCGTGTGCACATACTTTTCATCAAAGCGCTTTTCAAAGTGGGAGATGTTGAAATACTCCTGTCTGAATGGTCTGGCTCTGGCTGAGACCTAAATTCGTCGAGGATCCGTGGTAATACTGCGATGGCTTAACTAGGCCATAAGGGATCAAAACGGCAGGCTCAACATGCGAAATCTCCCTACTCGTTGGAAGCCTTGGCCTCTTCTTGACTTTATGCCTGGTCGCCCTTGTTTATTTGATGGAGCCATCGGGTATTACTCTTTTTAAATGATGCTTTTATTTGGTAGTTTTCAATGCAGTTGAGTTTGTCTTGTACCTTGGCGTGTAACAGCCATTTTGTATAATGATATATTCATGGATACGTTATGTTACTCGGCAGGAATCTCAAGTAGTCCGTTCCAAAAAGCACCTGTCTGACAGGTATATATGAACGAACCTAGGCGGAGCTCATAGACACCTTGAGTAAGCGATTCTGGTCTTGGAGAGTACTCCGTATAGGGTTCCGAGATGTTTACTTAGACGGGCAAATCAAAACAGATGGACGGCCGAAGCACTTGCATACATTTATGATGCGCACAGTTGGTATGTAGACACGCAGTCTTTGATTTGAATACCTTGGTTAGGCTTCTAGCAATAGGGTATGCTTTAGGCTAAGCCTTTGCCACTAGGTGCCTAGGTAGGTATATATCTATTCGGTACATTGATCTAGAACATCTGCAGACTCCCCTAAGATTCCAATGGAAATGACATCATCGCAGATGCCTACAACTTATTCGGTAGGTACCAAAATACCTATGTACTTCGGCACTTGGGTAAGCAGGTGGCATGCACTATTTGGTAACAGACCCCATGAATTCTCTTTCTATCGAATGAGTTTCGCCATGGTAATGATCAGGGTTGACTATAACCTGCATTGAGTATAGCAATTAGACCTGGTAACTTGAGCATAGCGGCTGACGAGCCTCATCCTGGCGATGCACCTGATTTAGGTGTCCATCTTGCAATAATGAAGATAACTTGAGAAACCGCCTTTGTGGTCCCTTTAAGATTGCTTCTCGACTCAGTCTTTGTTGAAGGGCCAGGGATATGTCGTATAAAGGTTGACAGCGGGTCTTCAACATGGCTTCCTAGTCAGTAGACCCCGGCTGTACCTAAGTAATGATTCTTATTTGTCGACTGATATACCCAGAGCTAAGCCTGCAGATGCTTGTATTGAGGTAATTGCTTAAGTCGTTGTGTGTCGCGGGGGTCATGCCTACTAGACGCTCACATTTCCATCGGCGTTCCTACCGCTGCTTCTCTGGCTCGGCGTAGTTCGTCATTTCGTTCTTCATTCTCTTCCTTTAGCTTCTCCTCAACCTCTTGCCTGATAGCACCAAGATCTGGAGGAATAGTTTGCATCTGAACGCTGGGTGCAGCCTGTACAAAACGAAGTTGCTCCGAAATGTGCTGCACAATCTCTTGCAGGCGCTTCTGGGGGTTCCGATTCTGTCGTGGCTCGCCTAATATCTGCTCGAGTGTAGGGAAGAGTGTGTCCTGCCTGAACTGTTCGCGCCAAGGGGTATGCTGGGGAAGGACTGGGCTGATATTGTCTTGACATCCCACTGCAATACTAGTTTCGTAGGTCCAGGCACGAGCGACATTCCGAGGTGTGTAGCCTCCTCCACCGAAAAGAATAAGAGGAAGTCCAACTTTCTTGCAAAACTCGACGCAAGCGCCGTGGCCTTGGACCTGAAGATTAAAACGGCCAAGCCTGTCACCGGCAAGAGAATCAGCGCCACACTGCAGCGCAATGGCGCTGGGACGGAACTTTTCAACAATTTTGCCTATGATAGAATTAAAAAGCATGTCGTACTGCTCATCAGTGATGCCGTCATTGAGTGGCACATTTACAGCGTGATGAGCTCCAGGATTATGCTCATTTTTGGGGCCGTTGTCATCTAGAGCACCGGTACCTGGGAAGAAGTTGTGTGGATCATACTTGTGAAATGATGCAGTCATGACACGATCAGTAGAGAAGAAGGCCTCCTCGACGCCGTCACCATGATGAACATCGATATCTATGTAGAGAACCCGTGGGTAGAAGCGCAGGAGCTCTAGGATGGCAATAACAATGTCGTTGATATAGCAGAATCCAGACGCCTCTGCCTTTTTTGCATGATGGAGGCCGCCGCCCCAGGCTATGGCAATGTCTGACTGTTTAGATGTAATCTTCCTGGCTGCGTCAAGAGCGCCGCCAGCTGACAGAGAGCAGTAATCGTACAAGCCATCGAACAATGGACAGTCGGAGCCACCGAGATTGAACTTAAGATCGGGGTTCTGGTTTTCCAAGTCCCGGGGAACTGGTTCCGGCAAGACAGTGCCAAGAAAGTCAAGATAGTCGGTGGAATGAAAGGAAGCCAACTCTTCGTATGTGGCAGCGCGTGAAATATAGTTGTCCATGGCAAAAGACATGCCGTATGAATATATCAGACTTTTCGATAAGGTAAGGCGCCACGGTTTCATCGGGTGCGTCATGCCAAAGTGATGCTTTTCCATATCCGGATTGCAATGAAATGACACATTGTATCCTTTTGGGCGAGTTATTGCGGATTCTTCAGCAAGGCGCTTGCACTTATTGTAGAATTTGGCATTATCCATCTCACTAGCAAGACCCAACGGGGTGTTGCTGTACTCCTCGACGATGACATCGTCGTTATCAATATCTTGTTTATGAGGTAAGTAGTTCGGTTTGGGCACGCGAAAGCGGTAAGGATTGATATCCATGGTGAGTATTTAGTATGCTGGCTTCCTTTAGAAAGGCTGCTAAGAGCAATTCCTTCTACTGCGATAGGTTGGAAAAAGCCGCCTGTAAATCGAAGGCATTCCCGTGCCGGAAGCCTGTGAGAATGGGCATCCAAGGGCGCCAGCTTTTAACTGTTGTCAAAAGAATAAGGGCGCAATTTTGTGCGTAGGCGAGAGAAATCAGAAGCTGGGTGATGGAAATTGGAGCTGACGACGGTTGAGTATCCAGGTAGGAGGGTGTTGGCAGAATTGTGTGGTGCAGGATGGATGGAAAGATCAGGCTGCTGGGGCGGCGCATCGCGCTAGGCCTGTTCGGGCGGTAGCTTGCAGTCCGGTTGACTTAATTAGCCTTGCCTCGTTTTATTGTACGGAGTACACCGCACTAGAATTTCTAAGTGCAAGGACAAACTCAAAGATCTAACACTAAAGCAAGAAGGGAAAAAGAAAGAAAGGACAAGAAAATTTAGTTAGAGGGAAAGAAATATAATCAAGTATCAAATATAAGTAAGGAGAGGCCAAGAAGTATGATATCTATAATTTCCATCATCTACCTGACGTGGTATGTCCGCGTGGTGGAAAGCAGCAGTTACCATCCGCGGACCCCAGGCTGTGGAAGCCGGGCCAATGTGAAGTCCCCGACGTCAACTCCCACACTACCATACAACCCTCATCTCTACTTCAACCCTCACTCTCACCGGACATACAGAGCCATCTCGACTCTTCTCCATCTGCACCTGCGACCGCTGCAAAACGGAAGGGCAGCTTGTGCTACAATCCCCCACGAAGAGACCTACCACCACGGTTCGGATTGAGGTGAGTACTAGCCATTCAAGTCGGCGCCCATGCATCACCGTCGCGCACTTTGCATATTTGCCACCCGACACTCCTTCACAAGCATGCAGCTATACCTCTATCCGTACTTCTCTTGCATCACAGGGGAAAGTTTTCTATCTTCCTAGACGCACTACACTCTGCCCCGACTGACGACGTGCGTCTGTATCTGTTGTCTGTTAATCATCGTCGCCTGCCGCCTGTCGCTTGTCGCTTGGTTATCTGGCTGGCCCCAGCACTTTTGTTGCGGGCTGGTTGGACCAATGGTCTTTGCTAGTTGGAGCCGCCAGACAGGACCTGCTTCAGTCTGGTACCTGATGCGCAGCAACCAGGCCTCGAGCTCGCTTCTGGGTGCTCCCCGTCTGATCTCCATCGGTCCACATGCAGGCTTCCAGAGTTGGATGTTGGCCGGCCCAGAAGATCCAGAACACGAATGCCCACTTGAGCGATGTGGTCCAGATATCGTCCCTTGCGTCCCTACAATGAGTGAGCAATGTCAGCAAACCCTTCATTCTTGGCTTCTGCCACCTAGCTCGAGCGGGCAAACATTGAGCGAGTCACTTTCACGTTGGACACTAGCATCACTCGGATCTCTCTGCTTTCTCGCGTACATCCAGGCCTGGGGGGCTCCCGTGTTTTTGCAAGGACAAATGTGCCAAAAGAGACGCCACCAGCCGTCATAATGCCGCTGTTTTTATGTACTACCCTTTGCTTGCTAAGTCATCTGCCTCTCTCTAGTTAGGCACGATTGCATTAATTGTTTTAACTTCCCCCATCTTTGCTTCTCTCAACTCCTGTATTTACTTATTCCAACTTCCGCCCACGCCGTCACAGTCTGCAGGATTTTTTTGCGGTTGTGGATGTGGCTGGTGCGCTTTGCGCAAGGACTATTTTTCTTTCCCTCCCCAAGTGCTCCTTCCTAAACCAATCCCACTGATTTTCTTTCGTCTGTCGATGTTTTTGCTTTGTTTTGGCGTTAGGTGACTGGATCTTAACATCATGCCCAGAGACGATCTCTCCATTGATTTTGTCAAGAGGATGCCTCAAGCAGAACCTCTTGACCCTGGGTTGATCTTGGACGACTGGATCAACCGCGTCCAGAACCTTCCCGAAGAAATTCGCTTCATGCACGAAGAGATAACCGACAAAGATCGCCAATACAACGAATGCATCCGCATGATAGAAGACCGCGATGGAAAGATACAAAAATGGATCAAGTCCAACGGCAGCCACGAGCCTAATCCGAAGGAAGAGTTGTTACGTGCTCAGATTCGTGACAATTTCGCAAAGGCAGACCGGCTTGCTCAAGACAAGATCGCATTGACACAGAAGCTTCAGTTGACCATGGACAAGCATCTACGAAGTATTGATATCCAAATCAAGCTCTTGTACGACCGAGCCGAACCAGGCTTTACCGATCCCGACGAAGTGCCATCCCTACTACGTGCCAGCGCTGCAAACCATACTGCGCCATCGATCCGAGCCATCAACCCTTCCGCAAGTCTTACCGACACCGCCCCCCCGGCTGCGACAATAACCGCAACTCACAGTAATCCTGCGACTACCAGACTTCCTGCACATCCTCATATTCGACTTGCCCAGCCTCAACAAAATGGACCTCAACACTCTGCTTCTGCCCCAGCCACGCCCGCAGCTAGCATGATCCTCAATAGACAACGCGAAAGCTCGGCAAGCCCGGCGATGAAGCGTGGTCCGCGAGCAAATACAGGTCCAGGCAACGCGCCTACCACATCCAGCGGCCTGGCTAGGCATTCCTCGCTTGGTCCCGGGACGTCAAAGAATGCATCTGCTTCAGGCGCTGGAGGCGTCGTACGGGCTGGCAGTGCTGGCCCTCGATCTACCTCTGTCAAGGCGGGCTCGAACGCTGGCAGCCGCCGGGGCACGCCGACTGCGGTATCACGAAAGAAACCACCCAACAAATCCTACTTGTCACGTGTAAAGAAAGCTTCGGCGCGGAACTCGCCAGCTTCCACTGCAGACAGCGATTTGTCCGAAGCAGAAAGCCTGAGTGGCGAAGAAGAAGAAGCCGGAGATGGTCGACCAAGGGGCACTCCCACGGTTGATGGCAAGGATGCCGAGGGGGATCATCCGGTTGGAGATGCTGACGATGACGAGGAGGATGGCGGCGATGACAAGAAGTATTGCCTGTGCCATAACGTAAGCTATGGCGACATGGTCGCTTGTGACAACGACAATTGCCCTTATGAGTGGTTCCATTGGTCTTGTGTCGGGTTAAAGAGCGAACCTAATGGTACTTGGTACTGTCCGGTTTGTGCTGAAAAGTTTCAGCGCAAAGCAAAATAAGTTCCGCCAGTCGTCGACACTGCATTGACTGGTATGGGCGTGTTAGCAGCATGACGAACTTTATTGTAGATGGTTCAACGTATTTATTATGACACATGAGGGAACTCGATTTGGCGTCTGGGGTGAGGAAAAGTGTGCAAATACCCCCTTTTTTGAAATTTCTAATCTCTTAGGTTCTTTAGAATCAAATCGAAATACCGATGTTGCATGATTCCATGACGATTTTGGGCAGAAGGGAGTCTATTGGGAATTGGGTGATATTGAGCCGGTTGGACACAGGGGTATTATTCCACTGGTGCCAGTACACAACGAACAACGCCGCGTCTGACCCCATCTGTCTCTTCCCTCATTGCGGTGACCATTGTGCCACCTTTTTGAATCTTGTCTACGAAGTCGTCCAGGGAGCCACCTACTCCAAAGTACAATCTTTTGGCGGCCACCCATGCCGACGCTTGCGATCCAAAAACAACCCTTTCCCGTTCTAATATAGCCAGCACTGCTTCCGTGAACGCCTGGAGGGCAAACGGCGAATATATTGTTTCCGCGCCCAATAGTATAGAGACGGAAGATAGCTCCGGCAAAGCGGCAGCTAAGTGACTCGAAGTGGAATAGAGTAACTGGACAAACTCGGCTGACCACCCGCCCGATAGAAACAAAAGGCTCATACCATGCGTGCGGAGATATGTTTCAAACCCTTCGAGGATAGATGGAGTTAACTCAAGCTCACCCTCAAGCGAGAAGGCGTCCTGAAGCTCGGTGAGACTCTGCCGGTGATATAATGCCCATGTGAGGATGAAGTTTGGCAGCGTGACGAGATGGAGTACAGATGGATTGTAGTCGGCGAGGTAAAAGCTGTACTGTTGCTTTGATGATGATGACTGTAAGGACATGGCCCATTGGAACATGGCCAAGGAAGGGAGACCAGTCCCACAGCCGAGCTATGGAATATGACTGGGTCAGCAACTGTTGAGCGTAGACTTGCTTCCTTGAAATATATGGCTTTCCTTTGTATGAAGTAAAGTAGGATAATCATTTGGCGGAGTGGCGGCTACATGGAACAAGAAGTGAACGAGTACATACCTCAATGACGCGAACGGATGAATTTAAATAGGATGCCAGATGACTCTGGGTCGCTAGGGCCTTGACCAGATCAACACTGCTCTCCCAGCTTTTAAACCCACCTTCATAAACACCAGTCTTGACATCTCGGTCGCCTAAGCCTTCACCCAAGTGTGCTATGTCATCTTCCTCTTCCGCCATGAGTTGTACTCTGACGTCCCATAGCTCTCTTCGTGGAAGCTGTATGGTTTCACCACTGTCAAGCACTATATCCAGCATGCTGTACGCAATCTTGGACGGCATACGGGATAGCATCGTTTTTAGGTCATGTTCTATTGGTGGAAGCTGTGGTTTTCCTTGAATGGGGAATGCGCTGGCTTTTCCTGCAGGCTGCGGCTGCTGATGCTGAAGATGTTCCAGTGAGCCGTCATTTGTCGTGTGTGCATCTATGTCGTCTCCTGAGAACTCGAATGAAAAGGACATTGTCAATGTCGAGTTTGGTGGCAAGCCCGCCGATGGTCGTTTCTTTGTCTCTCTTTTTGTTACGGCTTTGCAATGCCTGCTTCGGCAAGGACATGTATCATTTATCTTTGATTTGAGAGATGGTTGTCAAGTTTTGCACATGTTCTCACCTATGTGGGGCCGAGCTCATCGACTCGGTCGGGTTTCTCACAGGGGCAAGGAACACACGCTGAACTGCCAACTTGCCTTGCTATCTGCTTCTTTGCAGCCTCAACGTCCGTTCTATGTGCTACCGTGCATTTCATTTGCGAAGATACCGTTTCTCCCCTACGATCAGTTGAATCAAGTTGCGGGTAGGGCAGGCCCATTGCTCGTGATTCACAGCATTTTGATCACAATTTCTCGACGAATTTGACCCCGTTCGGAACGGTCCTGGTCTAAGAGTATTCGTCAAAAAACCAATGACGAATCCGATCGTAAAGGGTCATAATTCCGGGCACCAATATTTCAGATCTCGTATTCCACAGCCGTCATGCATTCATCTATTGCTAGGCGGGCTACCGCGTCAATACAACACAGCCTGCGCCAAACAAACACCGCTCTTCTCCCACCAATTCCTTTGTACAGGCGACTTTTGCGAGCACACAGGAAGCACCTACCGGCTGAGATGCGTATATTAGGTGATGAATATATCAAAGCCGAGTTCAGGTTACATCGAAAGGTCGACAACCCGGCTCATCTGGTAAGTACCCTGGCAATCCGAATACAGTGCTGGCACCACTTCTTCTCAAGCCGCGCTGGTGGCCTTCAGCTTTGGTTTGTTGGTCGTTAACATGGCAGTAGATTGGATTTCTCACCGAATGGCAAGCGTATGCCCAAAAAATCGAGGGCGATTCTTGGGTTGGTGAAAAAATTGATGAAGGGAAGCTTCGAAAGATGAGCGGTGAGTCCAACTTGCAAGTGCGGTGGAATCACGTTACTTTTCATTTGAGTCTAGGTTGATGGCAAAAAACATGTTCCAGGGACTTATTTTTTACGCTGACTATGCTGTAAATTATAGATGAGCAAATCTATCAACTCTACGAATTATTGCAGGCGATACAGAATCATGGCAACGGCAGGTCATCGGAGACATGATCTGTAGAGGAAGAGAGAGGAGGAAGCCGTGCGTAGCAGTATTCTATATTGTACTATATGTCACGATACGAATAATGGGAGAATACTTGGCAAGAGGAAAGCAGAAAATATGCATCCCATAACTCTCCTATTTGTTGCTGTAGAACCTTGAGTCTATCTCTGTAGTGCCTCCTCGATCCATGTTGCGCGAATCGCACTTACTTTCTTAGCATAGTTTTTATTCGTGTATACATGATCCAAAAACATAATTGCCTCCTTCTTCTGTCCATGAAGCACGCTTGCCGGGTGGATAGCTACCACGTGCTTACCATGAACAGTAATGTAGCTTGCATCAGGGGCCAGCATTGCTGTCTTCAAGGCGTATCCTCGAAGAAAGCATCGCAACACCGCCTCAGCCCTCTCGGGGTTTAGCGGCGTGAATGGCTGAGGATCAGGCAAAGGTAGCTCGCTCAGTAATCTCTCTTTTAGGCAAATACCCCGTAGTTGTCTCCGAATGTTCAAGGCCTGCTTCATGTTCCTCATGTTGATCTTCTTCTGCTTACACCATTCAAACCTGTTCGCATTTTCAGAACAGTATCGTTGCATAGTTGTTAAGTAAGTAATTAAGTCGCCCTCTCGTCGCTGCACCTCCTTTCGAAAAAACTCAATCTCTTCCTGGGCTTCCTCCGACTGCACCTGTAAGAAGATGTCTTCTCCCGAGGTAATACAAGATATAATATCAATAACTTCGAGTACGCAGTCGAACTCCGGTTCCCCAGCTGCAAGAAGTACCGCACCCAGGGAGGGTGGAATCGGCAAACGCGCCATTTTCTCTCCGGCTGAAGTAATGCATCCATCGTCATTTAAGGCACCAAGATAGTGTAAATTTAGAAGTGCTTTTTCAAGTGCCTCAGTTTCGGGAGCATCCATCAGCGGAAAAGCAAGTACGTCTTGAACGCCACGCGCCTTCATTGTTAAAACAGCACCAAGCACATCGTTTCGCAATATCTCCGGAAGATCAGACTCTTGGAGTGTATCAAACGCCTTTTCTGTGTATAGTCTGAAGCATTTCCCTGAAGCCTCTCGCCCGGCTCGACCAGCACGCTGAATAGCAGAGGATTTGGAGATAGGTTTAGCCAACAGTGATTCCATGCCTAGTCTTGGCCGGTATTGCTTGATCTTAGCCTTTCCACCGTCAACAACATATCGAACTCCAGGGACGGTGACTGAAGTTTCCGCAATGTTTGTTGCAAGGACAATCTTTCTCGTAAATTTGGTTTGAGCCGGAAGAAATGCCTCTCGTTGACCGTCAATGGATAACTGGCCATACAGAGGGAATACCTTTACTTTGGGGACATTTGAAGCTAAGGTAGTCGCATATTCCTCAATCAGCTTCTGGGCGGATTCAATTTCTTCTTGGCCAGTTAAAAAAGCTAGGACATCCCCTGGCAAAGGCTCCTCCATGTGTATTTTGAAAATCCTCTTCACAAGCGAATCTTGAATGTCCGCCACTGGCTGAGGTTCGTGGGTGACCTCTACAGGGAACTGGCGACCCTCGATGCGAAGAACCTTGACTAATCTAGGGTCGGAATATATTGATGAATCGTTGAAGAATGATTCGAGGACATCCACATCCGCCGTGGCGCTCATGATGACAACTTTTAGAGGAACACCGCCTCTCATTTTCTGGTCAGAGGAAAGAATCTGTTTCAAAAAGCCCACCAAGAGGTCCACATCTAGACTTCTCTCATGAATTTCGTCAACAATGATGGCGTTATACCGTCTTAGATAAGGATCCCTGAGAAGCTCTTGAAGGAGAGTTCCTTCTGTGAGAAACTTGATCTTGGTACCTTTCGGAATTTGATGGTCGAATCGAACAGAGTAACCAACAAGGCCCTCTTTCCTCCCTTTCACAAGAGGGGTTCCTGCTTCTTGAGACACTCTGTGAGCCAGAGTAGTCGCAGCTACCCTTCTAGGCTGTGTGATAGCAATACAACCGCCAACATAAATCTCCTTTTCAGGACTTGGAACCCTGACCTTCCGACGTTTGCACCAAGACTCTCGGTAGAGGAACTGTGGAACTTGTGTGCTTTTACCTGAACCAGTTTCGCCGACCAAAATGAGCACTTCATTCTTGGGTCCAAGCAAGGCCTCCTGGATCTGATGACGATATTGCCATATAGGTAATTCTCGGCGAGTCTTTAGTAAAGCCACATCTTCAATTCCCCGCGCTGCAATCGATTTCGTCTCGTGATGCTTTTTTAGTATTTCTGTAGAAGGACTGGTCTTGGTTTCGTGATCTGCGATAGACTCGGATGGCTTTTCAGGCTTTACATCGGCCTTTTCGGATGACGACGTAAGAT